CTCTCTCCTCTCTCCTCTCTCCTCTCTCCTCTCTCCTCTCTCCTCTCTCCTCTCTCCTCTCTCTCTCTCTCTCTCTCTCTCTCTCTCTCTCTCGTGTGTGTGTGTGTGTGTGTGTGTGTGTGTGTGTGTGTGTGTCTCCTCCACTTTTTGGTTTTCCTGTGGAGTTTCATGTTTGGCTTGCAACACTCTTGATTTGGATGGACCAGTCTTACCTTGAGTTAATTGAAAGGAGATCAGGCAGCCACTCCAATTGCCTGTATTTGGAGCTCATTACATCTTTCAGTTGCATCTGACACATTTCATTCTCATTTGCTTATTTATCTTCTTTTATTGACATCATCTTTTTCAACCACTTAGGAATGCAGAAAAGGAGGGATGCCTTTTTTAATTCTAGGGATATGATGAAGTTGGAAGTGTAGAAGAAGAAAAAGTACATGTCTACTTACCTATCTTGATTTTTTTTTTTCTACCAGGGAATGCTGACCATTCAGAGCACAGTGAAGAGTTTAGAATAGAGTATGGACTTGAGGCAGTGTAGCTGGAGGTCTGCCCTGTCTGGTTGAGCCAGGTCTTCAGTTTCATTTAGCTCCTAGTATTCATGATTTTTAAGAACATTATAAACAGGTGCATATTATAGTGACATTACAAAATTCTGTTAAAAGCACAGTATAAATTTGGAGAAAGATTATCTTTTTCAGTGGTTTTCTGGATAATCAAGATTTGATGGTATGAACACTGTGGCCTTACATTATGAAATACTGTTAATAGGAAATAAATAGTGCTAACTGGGAGCCAGGACCCCCTTTTGTGCCTTACATATGTTAACTCACTTAATCCTTATAACAGTCCTTTGTGGCAAAAACTATTGTCCTCCCTATTTTACAGATAGGGAGAATAAGACATGAGAAGTTAAATGGTTTCCTACAGGTCACAGCTAGAAACTGGAAGAGGCTAAATTTGAACCCAGGCCCTCTGGCCCCAGAACCTAAACTCTTAATCTTGGTGCTGTATTGTAGCATCCTTGCTTACTTTCTATTTAGTGACGAACTTGGTGCAGAACTTTAACAGTGCCTTTTAACTTCTAGTTTTTCTTTAAGAATGGTGCTATATTGGATGCATTTCTACAGATACATGTGTTTCATTTTCATTGCTTTTAATTTTGTCTTTAGATAAGATGTGAAGGAATCAGGTTGTTTCTTTTGTGGCTTCAAGCACTTCAGACAAACTGCGCAGAAGAACAGGTGCTGATTTTTGCATGCCTCGTGCCTGGTTTTCCAGCGGTCTTATCATCCAGGGGGCCCTGCACACTGGAGACACTCATCAATCCTAGCCCTAGTGTAGCTGATGGTAAGCACTGTCAGTAAACTCTACACTCTGAAATTACTCTGGCACTTAAATTGAGGAAATTCTTGATTTTTCATTTTCTTTAGTGTAAGTTCTGATGAGGTCTCAAGAGGAATTATTCCCTGTAATTCACACTAGTTTCTTACAAACATTAGAATCAAAAGATTTGGAGCCTATTTATATGACATGATGCTAGGAGAAACTTACTGAAGTGGTGGAAACAGGAATGGAAAGGAGGCACAGATGTTGGCAGTAGCAGGAAGTAGGTACACATGGTATATCTGCAGTGTTTTTGTATCTGCTAATGCAATTTAAATCTACCTTCCAAAATGACTGTCTGTTGTTGTCATCACTATCGTTTCATTAGTGGACATTCATCTTGATTTTCCAGCTGTTTAGTTTCATGTAGCATTTATAGAAGGACGACAGTGTCCTCATCAGACCATTTATATCCTTTGAATTTTTAAGGAACTCACCTATTAGGGCCATTGATTTATTATTCCATATCACTTTATTGCCTGATGACTAGCATGATTTGGGGCTGATTGAAAACAGAATTTGAAAGGGAAAGAATAGTCCAGTGGGAGAGGTGGCTGGCTCTGGGACATCTGTCCTGTGTTCTAAGCCCTTGATCCACATTGGCTTAGAGTTCAGTATAAGCAGTTCCAATGGCTAGATAGATCCATTTCTACAAATACATGTGTTTCATTTTCATTGCTTTTAATTTTGTCTTTAGGTAAGATGTGAAGGAATCAGGTTGTTTAAAAAAATGCATTTTTTAAAACCCTATTTAAAATTTAACTTTGGTGAAAGAGGTCTCATTATTTTCTACCCTGCAGCAAAAATATTTCCAGAAGAAATCACTCCACTCCTGCCAGCCATATCAGGGGAGAAGATTGCTGAGGACCAAACCTGCTTTTTTCTTCAAATACTGTTGAAATATATGGTTATTCAGGTCAGAGAAAAATTGTTGCTATTTCAGTGTTGCACTTATTCTTTTTTTTCCTCTCTCTCTCTCTTTTTTTTTTTTTTTTTTTTTTAAGGGTGATTTTTATATGCTACTTCACTAAACACTGAGTACGTACCGTTGTTAGGTCACTTCCACAAGACCAGGAATTTGTACTGTTTTATGTGACCTCTTCAAACAATTTTTCTTTCTTTATGTCTTTCCCGCCCCTCATATCTAAGCTGGCATGACAGAATGGAGGAGGAGGCAGGCCCAGAGGCTGACCCATGGGCCAGGAGTAGGCAGAGCAGACTGGAAGATATGAAGAAAAACACATGCAATGAGTTCATACTGCTGTTAGCACAGCCTGATTCACCTCACATGCTCCTTTTTTTTAGATTTACCCATATAATATAGAACTGAAATCATTAGCTTATTATTTTAAAACCTGATTTGTGTCACATGATCTGTATTTCCAAACAGATTATTTTTTCTCAGTGAACACTTTTCATGTTCCTGAGTTCCTCCTGGGCTTCAGAGCCAGGTTTGTTGAAAGCATCATCTTTGCCACATCCTCTTTCTTGCCTAACATTCCTTTGACACCTACTATTGCCTGTCTTCTGCCCAGGCCCCAGATCAGGATGGAGTCTAGTGGTTCATAATTTGCTTTGCTAATTCTTGAGGTGATTTGTCAGTGACTACCTCTTCTTCATGAGCTTCTCTCCTAGTGATACTTGCGATGTTTTCTTCTGGCCTTTTTTCCCTCCCTACTTCTTTCCAGTTTTCTTTAGGTAGTTGTTTTTTTGTTTTGTTTTGTTTTTGCTATCCTTTAAAATTCAGTTCTTGGCTGCCCTTTCTGATTGTACAGTCTTGCTGGGAAATTCTGATCCCTACCTCTACTCCCATTTCATTTAGCCAGCACCATAAACCCAAGACTTCAAAATCTTGAGAGCCTGATCAGGTCATTCTATCATCTTATAGAAGCTGTGCATTGAACTCATGCCTCTTCTACGAGGAACTCACATGCTGCCTTTTCAAAAGTGTTTGAGCATCCTGTATGCCCTGGAAATCAGCACAGGGTATCTAAAACTTGATGTTTTGAGGGTCTTGGTTCTCATTCTAGATGTGTCACTCATTAGTGACACATCTCAAATAAGTCAACGTCAAATAAGTCACATAGTCCCCAGAACTAGAAGAGTATGGCATAGATATAGGGTAGAGGTTTGTCTGCACACATTGAAACCACTATGTGTGTAGGGTTTTATGTGCGTGACTGTACCTTTCTCTTCCCTTCCCTTCCCTTCCCTTCCCTTCCCTTCCCTTCCCTTCCCTTCTGTCTGTTGGGGTGACTCTTCAGAGCAGAGTTTCTGACAGTTTATGGACACTGACCCCCTCTGCCCCAGAGGCAACCAAAGTAATCATCCCTTTACTTCAGATACCACACAGATATTGTCATTTTCTAGGTGGGATTGTCATGAAGGAAGCTGGTAAGCACTGTTTTGGTCTAACAAGTAATAAGAACCAGTGATAGGTCCTCTATGGTTTATAATTTGCTCTGCTCATTCTTGTAAAGACCCCCCTCTCTGTCATCTTTCCCTCAGTAGTATGGTGGTGACTGCACCTCTGTGATAGTCTGTTCTCCAGGCTTCTGGGGAAGTGCTGCCAGTTACTGTACTGTTTTCTAGTGCTCACACTGTGCATTCACTGTGCTAGGTTTTTAAGGTTCATAATATTACCTCAACACTGTGAAAGCTTTATACTTAACCCATAGCTAGACTGGCAGGCTTGATTTATCTTAGCCTGTTAATTTCCTTTAAAATAAGAATATTCTTTCCAAGATTCCATAGATTTTTGCCTTTCATTATTGATTTTATGTTTAGGTAGTATTGGATAAAGTAATTATAAATGGCCTTTTATGAGGTTAGGAAAAAAGTACCTGATTATTTCTGACTAAATCTTTTAAAGATACAAGGAATGTTTAATCATTACAAAGAACACATGGAAAAAATATGGACATTATGTAGCAGAGCAAGTTTGAAAACACTTAATACCTATTTTTTAAAGATCCTAATCTTTTGAACTTTGTTAATATTTAATTTTATTCCATGATTGTCAATATTATTTGTCCTCTTTTTAATTTATGAAAAGAATTTTAATTAAAACAGCATTTCATTTTGTATATGTTAATTTGAAATGTAAATATACTTATTTTCTTTTTCACATATTATCCAAAGGCTGCAAGCTTGGAGTGGAAGAATAAAGAGAATCAGGATACTGGTTTTAAATTTCTTTTTACATTGTTTCGAAAGTATTATCTTCCTCATTTATTTCCATCATTTACTAAGTTAACAAATATCTACAAACCTGTACTTGGTAAGTACTGTTTGACGTGTATATAGGCAACATTCATAGGAAAGCTGTACAGTCTCTTTCATAGTGACTTTTTAATATTTTAAAGTAATCAATGTATTCTTATATTAAATGATAACTTTATTGTGCAAAGTTTAAAGTTTCCTAATAAGTGATTTTAATTACGTACACTAAGATATACATCATCTCCTAGCAATAATGGGAACCGTGACTCCTATACTCAAAAATAATGTAAAACACATCATGAACTGTCTCACCCTTTGAAGATAACCTGCATTTTTCCTTGTATTCCTTGCTTTATACCCAAAGCTTCTTACTCTCAAGATGGCTGGCATTCTTTCTTGATTGTTTCTTACTTTACCCCAATGGATGTCTCTCCCTTGAAACAGCCTGTATTCTCCCTCAAATATATGTGTGCTTTCCTAAATAAATCTTTATCTTTGAAAAAAAAATCATGATTTTTTTTTGTGTAAATTATATTTGCCATCTCTTAATGTAAAAATTCCATTCCCAAAGTCTCCCCTTCTGGGTGGTAGGTTGTGGTACCCTAGAACTTGCTCAGTGACCAGACAGGCCAGACCAGAGCACACAGCTGCCCATAGTATGCCCTTTTATACTGGGTCTTTTATCCAGCAGATACTACTGACAGTTGCTTATGGAGGACAGATGTTTGGGTTATTGGACAATCTAGGAATAGCAAGTCCCTTGTTTGAGGGGGTAGGAAACATAAGGCAATTTCTAATTTAGCACCTAAAGTTTTCCTTCCATAAAAAATGAGGATTCACAGGACAGAAGCATCCCTTAGAGTAGTGAAAGTGGGGGAAGGGGGACAAATCTTCTTATTATTATCTGAGGCTAAATTAGTTCATGAATATTCAAGATAGCTTTGGAGGAGAAAAGGTCATTAGGAGCATTACTCCTACTGTGGGACATGACTAACTAATTCATTTGTCTTTGCTGTGCATTTTTATCTGTGTGCATACACATATATGGTTGCACACTTACATGTGCACACACTCAGGCACAGGGAGAGTAGCTGGAGCTTGGACATTTGGAAAGATATAAAAATGACTTTTAATCATACTAGGGTTCTATTTTGTTAGCTATGTTATGTGTGGATTTTTTAAAAATTTTCTTGATTCTTCAATTTAGTTTATATTCATAGTACATTGTTACTATTACTAGGTTGAAATTTTTTATTGAAAATATCTTTTCTGCTTCGTTCAGGTACTCCAGGAGTACAAAAATTAGTTAAGAGAGAGAGTTGAATTTATGGCAAGTAATATATTAAATCTGGTACCATATGATTTTCATATTGATGAAGGAATTTAAAGAATGAGAAATGGACCTCTTTATTAATTCTTTGGAAGATGTGGTATCTTATATCTCAAAGATGAAATGTTCTGAATTCTTAGACATCAAATATATTATAGGGATTCTGTTTTCTTGGATTCACCTAAAGGGAAAAGGGTAGAAAAACTTAAGTTCAGTAGGTTTAGTCAGTGCTGTGTTGGCTATTAAAATACTTAAAAAGATTGTTTTTCTAAAGTGCCTATATACTTTTAACATGTTACAGTCAGAAAATGAGATTAAATTAGGTATGTGACCAGATTATATTATAGTCCCATATAATTTCTCAAATTTATTAAAAAAGCTATTAGCTTAATTTTTCCATAGCTCTATATAGACAATAACAGTCACCTCTTCTTGGTCAGATTGCAAGACAGTTAGCAATGAGCCTACGAAAAGGTGCTATTTCTGCATCTTCATTCTTAGTTGCTATACAGATAACTAACCTAATCAATACTCTGTTCTTTTTTTTTTTTCTTCCAGACATCCCCCATTTAAGACCAAAGCCAGTGTATATTACTACAACTCGAGATAATGAAAGCGTTTACAGTACAAAAATTCCATACATGGCAGCTCGTGTGGTTTTTATTAAGTGGGTTGTAACATTCTTTTTGGAAAAAAAGTATCTAACTGCAACACAGAACACTAAAAATGGAGTTGATGTATTGCCGAAAATCATTCAGGTATGCCAATCAAAATACATAACTAAAGTAATTGATTAATAGAATTATAATTCTTGGAGGTTTTTGGATTATTGTCCCACCCTGTCTATAATGTTAGGATTTCCAAGGGAGTCAGAAACACTTACTATATGCTATTGAAATTGCCATAACAGGAAATTTCACTGGCGAGGAAAGCATTCTAAGAAGACGGCTGTTGTGTACACTCTCCTGGTTCTCCCTCATTCCTACTCCTTTACTCAAGTTTCTGTAACCTCTGATGAGTATGAGTACAGTGGACCATTCTGCTTTCATAAATCACCAGCACCTCGAAGTCTCTCAGGACATATGCAGATGGCTCATGCTATTAAGTTCCCATTGCATATCAGGGGAGGGAATGAATGAGCAGCTTAGGATTCTAGGATGGTTATTGTGCTATAATAGGATGCCTACAAGGGAAGACTACCTCTCCTTGAGGCTTTCTGAAAAGATCTAATGTCAGGCCTGCTTTTTCTCTTGGTCTTGGTCAGAAACAGATGGGGGCTTTTCCAGGCTGAGTGGTGCCGCAGTCTGTCTGGGCACAAAATAACCAAGCCACCACACCGCCTTGTAGATTCAAACAGCAATTCTTTATTCCCGAGAACTCTCACTGACACTCTACACGCATGTTCTGGGGAAAATACACTCCCTCCACCGGGCTCTGTGTACCAATTCTCTCAGAACCCCAGGAGAACTCAACGGGAACTCAAGGAGCGGGTGCCTGAGGCAGCAGGATACGCCCTATTCCCAGCAGGATCCACCCTAAACCTGGAGCCACCCTAATCCAGCAGGGTCACCTTTCAACCAAAAATGCCATGGTTCCTACTTGGCTATGGCTCTCAGCAAGTTGGTTAGGGACTATGTGCTGAGGGGGGTCATGGTTTTGTGTGTGTTGTTGTTTAGTGTCCCCAAAAACAAGGACAGTAAATGTGGTGCACTAATTTTAGGTTTGCTGCTGCTGTGGAGTTCCCAGAAGTATAACCTGGGCTTCATCTGGGACCATACAAGCTTGACAGGCAAATAAGTGGCTCATATGCTAGTAGGTCATTAGGGCCTTGATGAAAGGACATGAAGTCTAATAGAGCATGTGGCTCCATTGAAGAGGACTCACTGAAAAGCTAGAGAGAAGTTCATTGTCAGAAGACTCTAAGGGAGAAGCAGTTACAATAAGAACAGCAAAAGGCTTGCTGAAAGAAAGTTTAAAAACTGAAAAAGTCACAATTTAAAATTTTAGTGAATAAAATGAAAATGGAAATGATCACTACCAAGAACAAAATTGGCTTTCTGAAGAAATGTCTTATAACATTGAGTAAAACTTTAGACAGAAATCAGAAATGAATAAATAAAACCCGAGGGAAGGTCCAGACCTACCTTAAAAAATTGTAGCACAAGGAGAAAAGAATGAGGAGTAATAATTGAACAAATAAGTATACTTGAGGTGAAAAAAACAAAGACATGTCTCCAAGGACTTTTGAGTCCCAGGAAAAATTAACAAAACAGACTTTCATGGATTAAGAAAAATTATACACATTTCCAGATGGAAACCATAGGTTACTTAAAACGAAACTGAGATTAGCATCTAATATCTAATCAAATGTGCACCCCTGGAAGCTGGAAATACACCCATGTTCCTTCTGCTCTGTCACCGAAAGGATGATCAGTCAGGATCAAAGAAGATATTTAATAAATATGGTGTTAGTGTAAGTGCTTAGAACCTTGCCTCTTATGACATACCTAAGCAAATGTCAGATTGGTTAAAGGTATACAATAAAAGCCAAATAACAATCCTCTTAAACCAGGGATTTAAGAGAAAGTCTATGGAAATTTTTAAAATTGGGGACTAATAGACTACCTTAAATAGAAATAAGACTTAGATGCTATAGAAGAAATCAAGTTTGAATTTATTTAAAAAATAGAGAAAGCTTTATATGTCTGAAGATAAAATAAAGTCAAATCCAAGCAATAGACTGTTAAGTGACAACACCCTCTTAAATGAGTCAATATCTCTATGAAGACAAATAGAATTGAGAGTGGACAAAGGAGATGAAAATGCGGCTTGCAGAAAAAGGGAATTCAGTCGCCCTGAATTTCACCAGCAGTCATGGAAATGCGATTAGTTCTGAACCAAGATGAGATATCTTTATTTACTTAGAAGGAAACAAAAATCTGTATCAAGTTATATATTAAAAACTCAGTTGCACTTTTTAGTATGTTTTACATGATGTGATTGTCACTGATTAAAAAATCTATTCTCTCCATCTTAAAAAGATTGTAAAGCCATCACCTGTATTTAGTCAAAATAACTTGCTTATTCTTGAAAACTACATGTGTATGGAAGGAGATAGAAGGAACAGCAAATTAAACACTGCTTCAAGTTTTTTTTTTTTCTTGGTTGTCTCCTTGCAATTGCAAGTCATCTAACTTTTATTATTTAGCTTTTTTAAGTGTCTTAAGAGTTGGACTTCCTGAATCAATTGGATGGTTCCTAATGACAAAAGAAGATACCACCAACCCAACTGTCTTAAACATAAAAGAAACATTTTAATTCTACTAAAAAGAAGTGCATGGTAAAACTGATAGAATATAGTTAACTCACACTTTCTCACTGATTCTCTGTGGTTATTCTCTTCTCCATTCTGCTTTTCCCCTCCAGTTGTTTTGTCCATAGCTTCCCCCATGATTGTAAGACAGTTGCCAGCAGCTGGGACACTACTCTCCTGTTATATTTAGAGGGAGTCTAGGAATATATAGTCTTTCTCTTTTGTCTGGATGGAACATTTTAATTTACCTGCCCTGTAACAATAATGCTGATTGGATTAAATCCAGCTCAGTAAATGGACCAAGAATTGCCATGATTGGCTTCTATGAAACTAATGCTTTTTGATACTTTGGGTTCGGCTTCCTTTGAGTCTCTGGGCTGCAAGGAAGGAGACACACACAGCCTGGAGGCTCTGTTCGGGAGGTGGGATAGGTGCCAGCAAATATACCCCATGTCCCCCTTGCCACCATACCCTGTTGATAGTTGAATCACAGGAAGAGACTGTCAGATCAGGCAGGGAGGCTTTATTGAGATATCACTCCCGGGTGGAACTCGATCAGACCCACAGAGGGGACAGGGGAAGGGTCTGAGGAGAAACCGCATGGAAGCTCAATAGGACTGGACTTTTATGGGGCTTACAGTAGGAAGGGAAGGGCTTAGGACAGGAAAAGGTGTTTCTAGGGCCCCTTGCCCCCTTGGAGTTGGTCAGGGGAGTTGGCTGAACTCCAGGATTGGCCAGGGAGTCCTGTTGATTGACAGGCATTAGTCAGGAGGTCTGGCTGATTGACAGGGAAGGATTGACAGGCGTTAGTCAGGAGATCTGGCTGATTGACAGGCGTTTCCGCCAGCATCTGATTGATGTTCTTTTCCGGCATGGGCTGCTTTGTTCTAAGTTGCCACTAAGTCACCACTAAGTCGGCACCAAGTCGCTGCCACCCACCTAACAGAGACCATCACTCTTCCTTACACTAAGCTGTTACATTAGTTTTCTATTGCCAGTGTAGCAAACTACCACAAGTTTAATGGTTTGGAATAATACAGTTTTATTATTTTATAGTTCTCGAAATCTGAAATTCAAAATCGGTGCCAGGCATTTTAAGGCCTTTGTTTCTTTTGGAGCTCTTTGGAAGATTCCTGTTTTCTTGCCCTGTCCTTTTTTCTAGAAGCTGCTGCATTTCTTGGCACACAAGGAAAAGTGCATCATATCACTTTTCCTCCCTCCATTTTTATCATCACAATACCTCCTTTGTCTCTGGTCCTCTTGCCTCCCTCTTATAAGGACCTTTGATTCCATCAGGGCAATTTGGATATACAAAATAATTTCCTAATCCCTACCTTCTTAATTTAGTCACTAGATCCTTTTTACCATATAAGGTCCTACAGTCACAGATTCTAAGGATTGAGAAATGGATATCTTTGGGAGGGGGGCAAATGTTATTAAGCCCACGTCAGTTGTCTCCTGTATTCCCTTCTCTGCCCTGCAGTTTTGTTTCCCACCTCATCCCACATGTCTGTTGATTTCCACTTTTCATTTACATTGTATAGGAGAAAAAACAGCAGTTTAAACAATGTAATACTAAACCCTAGAAATAAGGTTGCCGAAGTAAAGCACATTGTACTTATCTCCTGAAGTTTTTGTTTGGAATTTAAAACTTGATACTAGTTTTACCCATCTTTTGAGCATTTTTCTCTGGTGATTGAAAACCTCATTTCAAACAGTATACTGCTCTTTTAAAAGACCTTCAAAATTTCATGACTGCTTTTTCTATTTCTATGAGGAATGTCATTGGGATTTGGAACAGAATTTCATTACATTTTTATAGTTGTTTTGGTAGTATGGTCATTTTGATAATATTAATTCTGCTTATCCAAGAGCAAGGTAGATCTTTTTATCTTTTAAGGTTTTCTTTGATTTCTTTCTTTAGGGTGCTGTAATTTTCATTATATAGATCTTTCACCTCTTTTGTGGAATCCCAAGTATTTTACTTTTTTTGATGCTATTGTAAATGGGGTGGTTTTCCTCGTTTCCATTTCTGAGGATTTGTCACTGATTAACAGAAATGCATTTGATTTATGGGTGTTGATTATATATCCTGCTACTTTGCTGAATTCATTTACTAGTTCTAGAAGTTTTCTGGTAGAACTTTTAAGGTTTTCTAGGTATAGAATCATATCATCAGCAAATAGTGCCAATTTGAATTCTTCTTTTCCTCGGTGTATTCCTTTAATTTCTTTCGTCTGTCTAATTGCTCTGGCCAGTGTTTCAAGAACTATGTTAAATAGAAATGGTGAAAAAATACATCCCTGTCTTGTTCCAGTTTTTAGAGGGAATGCCTTCAATTTTTCTATATTTAGAATGATGTTGGCCAGGGCTTAGCATAGATAGCCTTTATAATGTTGAGATATGTTCCTGTTTTCCCTAATTTTTCTAGTGTTTTGAACATGA